GCATGTTTTTCTCGTAACAATTAAACCAAGTCTTGTAAATATGCTACTGTTTCTCATGACGGTTGAGTGGCAGGAAGGTGCCCGTTTCTAATTTAAAGTACTGCTGCACGATATTGTGCAGGCTGTGATGTAACGAACCCTGCAAATAGTTCACGACATAGCGCTTGCTGCTGTCAGCAGTTCTACTGACTACAGTGAAACTGTTAATGATAAACAAGCCCACAAGCTGGTGCTGTCTGCAGTGTAATGCTGTACTGCATCATTCTCTCAAGCCTTTCATTTAACTGGTACTGAAAAGCTTCTGTGTGTGTGTGTGTGTGTCTCTGCTTAGACTTGTGTACTGACCCCTTACCTTGTTACATTTATTTATAATAATACCCTAGAAGCATATTATCAAGCATAGTGCATCTAACATTTTTATCTTTCTGATACGCTACAAAAAAATTGTTTTCTGGTAAGATCTATGGAAAAAAGACTGACTTGGAGCAGATATAAAAAGCATGTGAATCTACTGATTAAAAGCAGAGGGCTAATATAGACCTTTTTTCTCAGATATTGTCCTTTTTCACTTGCTCAAATACTGTAGCTTGGTGTTTACATTATTTTCTATACAACGATCACTTTGATTCTTCTGTTAATAGGTTTGTGTCGTACAAGTGAAATATTTGGGGCATCTGCACTGGTTGTCGGCAGCCTTCATTATATACAGGATAAGCAATTTCAGCATCTTAGTGTTTCTGCAGAGCAGTGGCTCCCCCTTGTTGAGGTGAATGGAAGCATGCTTTAATAGCTTTAAAAAGTGTATTCTACATCTTCAGTTAATCAGATGTGTAACTCGGAGTCCTCCTTTTTTCCTCTTCCAAAAACGAGCCTTTTATGTAACAGATGCCCCCACTGTTATCTTTCACGTTTAATATTGAGTATTTTGAAATAACTTGTTACTTCGGGTCAACCTGGTTACAAACAGTTTAAAAATTACTTTTATTTTCATATTGTTGGGATTAACTGATTTATGTGAGTTGCCGCTATTATAGCTAACTCTGTTTTATAGTTGTGCATTGGAGTTTAATGTTCACTTGTATAAACTGAAAAACATTTTGGTAGTTTATCTTGGTTGGTCTGCTGCTTTATAGTAACTTAATGAGGATAACTACTGAGTTTGCCTGAAGCTAGTTTGTGCTAAGCTTTTAGAACCTGTTATCTAGCTTATCAAAACAAGGGTTTCAAGCTATGTATTTAGCATTCGGTTGAAAAGGTGGTTGTTGTATTTTATAATCTATTTTTGAAGACTCGCTTTGGCAAGTCATTTGAAAAATTCAGTGCAAAAATTTTCATTTTTTTTTTTACACAGTGCTTATTTTCAGCATATTAAGATTTGTTCTAGGAACAGTATTGTTGTATTGTATTCTGTCAGAAATAGGAGTTTCCATAACTAATCTCTGTGCAGAACTGTATTGACAATAGAATTTCTGCTGCCTGACAAAACTGCCATCTGATATAAATAGGCAGTTTAGAGATGAGGACAAAGAAAGTACCTAGAAATTCCTCACTTTAGACTACCACAAGTTGTAAAGCAGGCTTTTAAGGCAAGTCAGCTTCAGTTTTGGGTCATCATTATATTGTTTCAGGAAAGGATATCAGCTTAAATAAGAACTACCGTCTTGTCCTTATGCAAGAGTGATGCTTTTACCTTCAGATTTGTTGATTAAAGCTTGTAGCTGTCAGAATCGGAGAAGTGCCTTAGTTCATTTCATTTGTGGAATAAATTTTTCTGGCATTACCTAAATATAGGTTTGTTTTGCACTATTGCTGAAGAGCTTTTAAAATGGTAGGCCATGTATATGGACAAGGATTTGGGGATAAAAGGTATTAATCTAAAAACAAGTCTTGGTAAACTGTTTTTATAGTAACTTGAGAAGATTATAAATAGCGGCATTTAATAACTTGTATATTTCTCTTTCCATTTGATGTACAGGTGAAACCATCTCAGCTTGTTGATTATTTACAGCAGAAGAAAACAGAAGGCTACACTATCATAGGTGTGGAGCAGACAGTTAAAAGTTTTGATCTTACAGAATATTGCTTCCCAGAGAAGTCACTATTATTGCTGGGGTAAGAACTCTTTTGTAAGTCTACCTCTCAGTTCATCCAGCAGTCCTCCTAGTCAGCAGTTTGGTTCTGTGAAAACCAAGTGACCATGGCAGAGGAGGTGGAATTAGAATCGGACGGGATTGGGGAAACAGGAAAGAGCTGGGCTTTTTGTAGTAAGGAACGGGAGGTGTTGATCTCTACTCCTGAATGATCCTTCCGTCTCTTCCTCACAATCAATGACCGATCTCTACACTGCAACTCCTTTCTTATGAGTGGAGGGTAGCAACAGTATGGATTCTAGTTTTCCAGGTGTGACAGGTATCATCTATTCATTTTAATAATATGGGGACCTGCACGTTCTACCAAAGTGCTGTGGGTGGACAGCAGGAAGGAGGGCTGCCTGTTTGCCTTGCTTGACCCAGTGAGGATGGGGAAGGAAAAATGAGCAGGAGCCCAGATAGCTGGGAGAAGCTTTAAAAACGCAGGAGGAGGCAGGCACGGGAAGAAACAGTGAGTACGGCATTTACAGTACAAGAAGAGAGTGGGAGGACATCAGAGAAAAGCACAGATCAGCTCCTGAAACCAAGCAAGCCACCAAAGCAACAAAAGGAACTTCAAGGAATCTAGAAGAACGGGTCTTCAAGCGAGAAGAGAAAGCTATTGGAAATTGCTGGCCCATTGAGTGAAGTCAGGAGGAAAGGCCTATCCTTTTAGGACAAAGTGAACAGAAGTACCTTTGTTTTTCAGAATTTTATTTTTAATTTGTCTTCAGAATTTGATTCCCCTCCCCCCCCCTTCAGTACTTATTTTGTTCTCGTCTAACTAAAAACATAACTGTAATGACTAGAAACCTTTTGTCTCTTCTGATGTCCTGCCTCTTCTGAGGTGAGCACGTTTCCAGTTGAATGCTTTGGCCAGTCTGGGATCCCCTTGTACCATGACCTCATCACAAGTTGGAGTGGGCAGCTGAGCTCTCCTCCTGTGCCAACAGACTCATGCCCTGGGTCGTTTCATTTATAGCCAATTACTTTGCTGTATGGGCAGTTTAAAGGCGGAGAGGAAGTCCTGGTGTTTGATGTTCAGCTGTTGCTGGACCAGTGAAGTGAAGATGAGTGCTCTATCCCTCCATGTAGAAATGTGAATGTCATGAAAAGACAGTGCTGAAATAATTACTTTGTTTTTGCTTCCCAAACTTTGGACTGCCTAATCCATCTCCAGTGCAAGCAGTACCTAGCTGATATGTATTTCCAGGACAGAGAATTAAAATGCTGGAGACAAAGACAGTAACAGTACTAAGGTATCCTTAGGCTGCTGAGTGAAGGAGATCCTGTATGTGCCCCAGCTGTTAACACCTAAGTTAAGGAATTACACCTTGTTTTTTTTCTTCTAAAAAGGGGAGTTAATACTGTAGAGCAGTACTTTGCATACAATAATTATGTTAGTAATATAATTCAGCAACTTCAATTTTCAGTGACCTTACTTTTGGTAGTAGGAAACTCCCTACAGTTCTGTTATTTTTTAGCCCTAAGTTTCAGACGTAAGATAAAGTCAATTTTCCTTGAATTATGACTTCGCTTTGATACAGTCAGCCAGCTTTTCCCATCAAAAGCCTATTCAGGCTTCCCATGGTTTTCTCTTTCAGTAATATGTAACTTTTGTAACAAGGAGCGATAGCACTTACAATGCTGCTTTTAAAGCAAGCAAACAAAAAACACAACTGTTCTCATGGCTTATAATGGAGGGCAGGTGCTGTATTTTCCAAATGGTGCTTGGTTGCTTTTGTGACTTTTGCATCTTCCGTTTTCTGGAACACCTTTCTTTTCACAGACATAAGTTGTTGTTTCTCCTTTATTAGAAATGAACATGAAGGAATTCCAGCAAACCTGATTCATCACCTGGATGTCTGCGTGGAAATTCCTCAACAGGGTATTATTCGATCACTCAATGTTCATGTAAGCGGAGCTCTGCTGATTTGGGAGTACACAAGGCAACAAGTCATCAAACAAAAACAACAGAAATAACTGCCGAGAGTTTTGTGCCTTATAGTACAGCTGAGGGGCTTCTTATGGTGCTACAACATGAAATTTTGAATCGCTAAGACTCAGGGTGAATAAGGATACTGAACTTTGCATGTTTTACTCTCTGTAGTTCAGACTGATTTTTAAATGCCTTAATACTTTTACCTCATTAAATATAACTTGCATTGGTAATAAATATTATTTATATTGCATGTGGTGTGTGATTTACTGCTATTAGAACAGCAGCCTAGTACCATGAACAACCCCCAACTCAGTTTACTTCAAAATATAGGATTTTAACTGCGGTTGTGACAAGCATGCTTGAAACTGGTGTCTTCAGATGACCACAAGCAAGCCTCTTTGTAGTCCAAGTAAAGTATTAAATACTACCAGCATCTAGATACAGTAGATAATGTAATTTGCAGAATTTATATAAACTTCTGCTATAAACAATTTCCTGGTTCAAGTGCCCTGCATGGTCAAGTTTTAATTAATCCTGCTGTAAACATCAATTGATACTTTTAGTGGAGTTGCTTCAATAAGATCAATTAAAATTACTAAACTATATAGAAGACCATAATGTGAGAATAATAAGTAATTGCTGTAGTGTGACTCATACAGGCTAATTTTGAATCGATATCCCTATTGATCTATAAAATCAATTTTTTTATATAATATTCAAAATATGTAACTTGTACACATAGGATATGTGAGGTCTTGTAATCTCTGCTCCTTTATGGTGAAGACTGTGTATTTTAAAATATTTTCAAAGATTTGGCAAATGATGGGCACAAATTACAGTGCCACTCCTTCTCACAAGAGTTCTCACAAAGGCTGGAGAGTCATTCCTGTTTAGGAAAAATAGCTCATTTACTGAAAAACACTTTTATTACTCTTGAATATGTTCATTACATTATTATATAATCATTTAATTCCCGTGAAACAATTTTTGATTTTAATTCTGCGTTCAAACACATGGGTTTGTGAACAGCCCTGCACCATGTTTCTTTGACTCACTGTTCATGAAAAAGCCATCCATGACTATCTTCTTGCAGCAGACACGAGTCTGCAACAAGAGCAGCAGCCTGCGTTTTCAGACGTACCAGGTTTATCAGTTCTTTAGTTCAAGCAGCTTCCGTCACTTTGTCAGGCTTCTCCATTCTTTAGAGTTACTCTCCATTGATTTATTTTGAGAGCAGAGTAATTACGACTTTCCAGTTGTTTCTGGTGGAAGATATCCTTCTGTTTCGAGCTTTTTTTTGTACTTTAAATAATCTCTTCTTTTGTCAAAGTATTTAACCTGTTTAAAAAGAGAAAGAGCTTATTTTCCTTAAAAGAAACTAGCAGAGGAAGGGGCTTCATGCATCCTAAGACTGTTCATTCTTCAGTCTTTGATGACTGAACTTAAATAAGCTTCTATCCTTTTGTAAGAGATACTTGGACCCTAACCCCTAGAAGTCTTGCTTCTTTGAAAAGTTTGCCATTTTGAAAGTATCCTTAAGTTCCCTGTCGAAAGCCCTCCAGTTACTTCCAGGGACATCTAATAAAATTAGTCTGTCATTTTGCTATTTTTCGTAAGTGGTCTGTACTGCTGTGAACAGCAGTCACAATATAAAGATAAATCCACTACCCTTTTTTTCTGCTTTTGCAGACTCAGTGACATTCATTCATTGCCTAGAGCTACTGTGTGTAATAGAAGTCAGAAGAGCCACTGTGAACATGTCAGGTAAAAACTGGTTTCAGTCTACTACCTCAAATAGGAAATGTTCAGCTCCTCAGACAGTTGTTATTAAGGAGCAAGAGCTATTTAAAAAAAATTTAGCTTAGGCGCAGAAAACTAAACCACACAACGTGGAAGAGCTGGATGTAAGCAGATGGTACAGAGTGAAATTATGCTGCATGAAAAAGGGTTTTTTTATGCACAGTAAGATGTCACATGTGAGTCTTAAGATGCCATGCAACTATAAGCCTGGATGTCACCTCATTTCCACATGAGCCATTCTCCCTCAGTAATAGCAGTTTCTATATGCTTCTAAGAGTTTCCAAGTATCTTTCTGAACATCTTTAATCGTCTTAACAACGATGGTAGAAAGATACAGACTTCACGACTATTTTATCTGGAAGAGTTTGAGGTAGTATTTTCCTTTGTCTTTATGATACTGCTCATGACTTCTTAAGGCTGCTGGACCAGTCAGTGGTCTACTCAGGAAGGTTTCCTAGCAAGGCCAAAAGCGTGCAAATCAAGCGTGACAAGAGTGTAAGGTTATCTGTGAGAACCTTTAAGGCTGCGTTAAGTTCTGCAATCCAAGAAGTTGGATTACTGTCAATAGCAGCGTGGACACAATTATTTCTCAGTTTCTGTTAGCTTGCAAATAAATGCTCTTCTCCTACAGTACAAGCTTTGGGCTTAGTGCATTATGGCCAGCAGAGAGCTGTCACTACTCACCCATTGCTGTGGACATCTCGATTCAAAAGACGATCTTAGCTTCTGACACTTGGATGCATCTTCACTGTTTTTATCTAAACATTGCCAGAACTCATCCCGCGCCCCCCAGCAGGCCTTTCTTTCCTCCATGGTTGGGGCCGACATTTTTACTACAGATTTAAGGAGAAGGGGGGGGGGGAAAAAAAGAGGATTATTACTATTTGAGTAAACACCGCCCGCGGTAAATGCCACCGGCGCGCGGTGCACAGCGGCTG